CTGAGGTGGTTCCTGCTAATCTGGTTAGTGATTTACCAGTTTCCTTGACCCCTGCGGGTCCTGTGGTGTTGGATAATAATAATGTTATCTTAGTCGATGCTATTTGTGCTCCTATTATACCTGTCTCTATTCGGGATGATTTAATTTTTACTGAGCCTATGGGGAAATCTTTGGCTCTAGTGGGTCTCGGGGATCAGAGTGTTGTGGTATCTCCTTTTTTGGTCGATTCGGAAGCTGGTTTGGTTGATCCCACCCTATATGCTATTGTCGGTGATGTGGGTGTTCCTAATCCTGTTCTTTCCCATGCTAATCATTGCTCTGGGGAATTGGTGGATTCTGGTGAGGTGGTGGGTGTTGTTTCTCCTACGTTTATGTCCCCTCTAGAGGATTCTGGTGTTGTTCTGGCATCCCGTAAATGTGTAAGTGAAGCTGGTCGTGGTATTAACTCTACTATACCTTTGTCTCGTGTGGTTACTATGTCTGCCCCATGTATTTTGGCTAAGATTGATGCACCTAGTGTGGTTTTTGTGGACTCTGGGTCATCGGTTTCTCCTACTGTGCCGACTATTGAACGATTTTCCTCACCCTCCGGTTCTAACCCTGTGACGCCTACTGTGCTTGTGCCTAGCCCTTTTGTTGATATTCTTGTTAATTTAATTTCACCGGAGGTGTTGATTTCTCAAGTGGGTGTCAATTCGGGGGAGAGTGTGATATTGCAAATTGACTGGCTTCAATGTTTGTCAGATTCCTCTTTGGAGGCTAGTGAAGATGATGAACATGTGGATGAATTTGATGTGCAGCATGATCGACCTGTAGTGCCAGTATCATCTCGTGGGAGGCATAGACGTGGTAGGGATAGGAGATAATTTTCGTTGTGTTGTCTTTGATGCCTCTAGATGGTGGTTGGTTTTTGCATTGGTTGGCTTTTGCTTCTTGCCGGTTCACTGGAGCTTCGATTTAAATTTACTGAAGGCCGTTTGGTTCGCTGGGCAATGATGTGGCTGGGGCTCATTACTCCATAGTCATGGCTTGTGGCAACCTTTGGTGGTGGTTTCTTGCTTGGTTTGGTTGGATGCTTAGTGTTTTACTGCGCTCCGCACCAAATTGGATGGTCTATGCCTGATTACGGTGTAGTGGGTAGCCTCGGCCAATTATTGAGCCCGTTGGGTTGTAACTCCCTTGTATCTTCTGTTGCTTTTTTATCATTTCACTCCTATGCTTTTTGTACTCCTTTTTTATTTTAATGAAGTTTTAATTTTTTGTTAAAGAAAAATAACTTCAAGAGACAAATACTATTGTAATGTCTATTATATTTTTTATAACTTTCAGTTGTGTTGATAAAAGTTTTCTTTTAACTAAAAAAAAAATCTTATTGTAGTTATTAATAGGTCATTTGTTGGGACCACTTTTTTTTTGGCTTTTGCTTTATTTGTGTTAATGTTTTAGTACAAAATAAAATTATATTTGGCATCAAAAAATATTTTTATTTTTATTCAATATTACAAAAGACAGTAGTGATTGTAGGCGCCACAAATGGTAATGGGCGTAATGATTTTTTATTAAAAAAAATTGAAATAACTTACAACACCGAAAAGTTGTTTTCAAGTATTTTAAAAAGTAATATTATTTGTTTTCAAAATCAAAACATAAAAATAACTAAAACATGTAAATCAAATTTCATTAAAAAAAAGTTGGATTTACATATATTGGACTCAAAGTCTTTCTATTTATATATTTAATACATAAATTTTACTATAAACACGGTTTACCATTTTGTTAACCCATTTCACACACGCATAATCGATAGAGGAAGTTTCATGAAATTAGGCATTGTGCATATATGTAGAAAGGAGGTTTCTACGACATCAACTCGGTGAAGGCTAATAATGGGATCATTGGGTTATAACGTTCCAAAATCTTTGATAACAAAGAAGACGACTGAAGTTGCAACAAGATCTCACTGGTAGCCTATTGATGAGACTAAGACCAATGAGACGTAGTCACAACAAAGCAAGACATCGTTAAAAGGATGATAATGATAGATGTTAAAAAAAGTGATATTTCTCATATTACCTTCATTGGTATGTAAATAAATTTAAAGATTTAAGTTTTAAATACATATGTAGGAAGATTACAATGCTATGTTAAATCACCAAAATTACAAAAAAAATAAAAATAAATAGTGATCTCAAATAACCCAAAAGCTTTATCAATAAAATATTTTTAATGTGTGTTATTAAAATGATCCCTTTGATTACTTAGATGATTATTTTCCAGTTTATGTTGCAATCTACATCTATTTTGAGATGATGGACATAATTATCATCACATGATTAATGAGACAAGAAAATTACAAAGCTAGCTAGCTTGAAAAGACTAATTTAATTTATAAAGGATCCTCCTAAAAGCACAAAGTAGCAAGTAAAAGATAGCTTAATTAAATATGCGCTAACTTTGTATTAAGTTAATAAAAGCAAATAAAGCACTGAGGTTAGCTCTTTTAACTCTTCTAATCAGTCTTTATCCTCTTCCTCAAAAGTCATTATCAGCACTTTACGAGTTGGCCAATGTCTCTATTTTATAAAATTAATTTGTCCTATCACAATTAACTACATTAACTAATGTTAACTTTCTACATAGACTAATCAGCAATCACTGTAATCCGCCCTTGAATACAAAGGAGGTTGTAGATGCGACAAGGGAGAGTGCATGCTAAGTCATAATTTTATAACTTAATATACAAGAAAGTATTGTGAGTCATTTAATGTATATGAGTCCAAAATCAGATTTTTTTTTAATAAGGTAAAAAAAAAGGATTTTTAATATGTAAAATAGAAATATATAAAGATGGAGAACCATAGTCCCAAAGAAAAGAAAATAACAAAAATTACTCGTCCTAGTCATACATGCATGAACAGATGAAACATTATTATTTAAGAAGTTAATAGAAGCTCGAGTGAAGTATGAATTCTCATCTTCTTCCTTTTTCTAGCCCTTTAGATGAGAGTAACTTGAAGCATTGAGGAAAATGAAGATACCATCTTTAGATCTACCGTCTGTATGGATTAAATTTTGGTCTTCATGGTCTCTTTAGATTGTGGGTGCAATAGAGTTTCTTGACTTGGCTGAATAGTCATTGATAGGACTAATTTGAAGGTTCCCAATATAAAGACTGAGAGATTGAAGAACAACAAATTTTTTGTCTATTTGAATTGGAATATTTTGCACCTGTAGATTAGTTTTTGGAGGTTGAATTTCTTTCTCTTGGTATTAATAATATATAAGAAATCTTTATTCATAACTAATAATTGAATACCACAAAGGGAGGTTAACTTAGAGAAAAAAAGTTAGATTAAAAAAGCAATCATGTTTGTAGAAACCTCTAGAGAGAGGTAGATGATTTGGTTATGCCATGGAGGACTTATTTGTATCAATATGACTTTGTTATTCAAATGACTCCTTACACATGTACACAAAGAAACCTCATGCTCCACTGAACTACATTAGTTACAAAACTAAAGAATATTTTCAATCATTATTTTTTATTGCATCACTCTCATTTAATCCAATCAATAGAAAAATAAAGAATTATTGAGTCACATAAATTTTGAACTAATACCCTAGCAATGGATGGCCTCGTGGTCTCATGATAACAATATTAGATACATTTTTACATAATTTTTTTTTAAATATAAATATATTGTTAAGGAGAATAATTTGGTCAAATAAATAACTTGGGATGAGAAGAAGCTATTAAACATTAGAAAATTAATGAATATTCAGAGAGAAATTATACTCTAGAGATCATACATTAGTCCTTACGTAAAACTATTCAATAATTAATATATATCCTAGACAAAATTATCATAGAATAATGTTCAATCATTTCAAAATTTAGCAATATATTCTTGGAGTTAAGTAAATGGATTGAGGCCGCCCCACCATAAGAGTAACAACCTTATAAATAATCCTTCATATATAACTTTCAATAAAGACGATCTATCCCTTCAGAATTTACCACTTAGATAGAAATGTAGGGTTTTTACACTACCAAAAAATACAGCTATCAAGAGAAGTGATGTTAGAAAATCATACTAAAATTAAAGAGATTTCGAGTCTAAGAATTAGAATTTTTAAGAATGCATTAAAATATATTAAAATAATCTATGTGATACATATTAACTTTACCATGAAGGATATCATGTGGATGGTATGCACAGTTAGGCTAGGAGTGGTTGTAGTGGTAGAAGCAATGGATTTGATAGGCCTCCTTATCGCCTTAAATTTATGATATCACTCACAAGCTAACCATGTGCATGCAGCTCGTTATCTTCCCCAAATGACATACAGTAGACATTGAAAAATACAAGAAAACAGTGAAAACACAGTAACTATATTTCAAATTGATCAAGAAAGCTCATATTGAAAACAAACATAGATATTGCTTTCCTAACTACAAGGGCGAAATCAGCCTATTTTTTCAGGGTGGGCAAAATATAATTTTGATTTTTTTTTTTTTATTTGGGGAAGCACTTAGAGAGGCCTACGGGTTAATATATATAAAGGAGAAAATTAAAAGATTAATTATCCACCCTAAACTCTTCCTTATTCCACCTCCATTCCCAAGTATCGAGCTTCTTCAAGGCCCTCAAGATATTGTCAACCTACTTGTAATTACTTCCACATTAAAATCTTCCATTATTTTATGTTTTCGTTGTAGTGCTTCCAAATCTTATAGAATTAAATACATTAGTTTTTTCAGAGCAATTAAAAAAAAAAAGTAGCCTAAGCTCTATGCCACTACCCTAACTAATTAATTAATGATCTATTTTATACTTTCCTAGTAAACAAAAACATTTGCAAGCTAAGTCTCTGCTCCTGTTACTCTTTTTTTAGTTTCCTAGTCAACAACCCTAGTCTTCTCCTCCTTGGTTATCTCCCTCTCTTCCCATTCCATGATCTCTCCTTCTTCAAACAAACCTGTCCTTCATTGATCCACTATGGAACCTGAAGTGAGCTCCGGGGATCTCCGGCGGAGGAGTGGAGGCCATAGCCGGTCCTACGAGTGCAACTTCTGCAAGAGAGGCTTTTCAAACGCCCAAGCTCTTGGTGGGCACATGAACATTCATAGGAAGGATAGAGCAAAAATGAAGCTAGAACCTTCAAGTCATGACCCACTTGGCTTTTGGGTCTCCTATGAAATTCCTACTGCCCACTTATTTTCCTCCAACACCACAAGCTTTGTTGCTCGACATCCAGGGATTCTTCCAAAAGGTCATGGATATCATGTTGCAGACAAGGCAAGCCTTGATCCTTCTTCGGCTTTCCAAGAGGAGGTGGAGATGTCGCCGAGGGCGGCGGTGGCAGCGATGGCGGAGGTGGATGTCGACCTTGAGCTCCGACTAGGGCCGGAGCCTCCTCCGAAAGACACGTGAGTTTCAGAGTTGTTCGTACGTTGTAGTAAAAATTATAATGTGCTTTTAATACTTCTGTTAGTATTATTATAACTTCATAAGTTTATTTATAAAAATTGTAATTATGAATTTTTTGTGTCCAATAATTTTCATATTTTTAAAAAATTAAGGGTATTCATTACAAAAATTTTGAGATCATATATATATATTATATATCTGACATGAGTGTAGTCATTTTTTGAAAAACAAATGATTAAAAGTGTCATTTAGGATGATTTTTTTTTATTTTTTTATGGGAGGTAATTATTGATTGTGCCGCGAAAGATATTTTTTGAAAACGCATGGTCATTTAGGCTTCGTTTGGAGCAGTTTTTAGCCATTGCCTTTTTACTATTTTGATTGAATTTTTGTGCTAAAAAGTTGCTTTGGAAAGTAGTACGAAAGCCTTCTAAAACGAAGTCTTAGACTTTATTTAAGACAACTTTCTTATTGTTTCTTAAAATAGCTTTCGATTATAATTTTTTTTTTTTACAAAAAAGCTGCTTTAAGAAACAGTAAGAAAGCAGTCACAAACGAAACCTTAGTTACATTTATATTAACTATGATATATATGAGTAATAATATTATTTTAATTTTATTTTTTCAATATGATTAAAATCTAATATTTTTTAATTTTTAAAAATCAGATTTGTGATAGTGATAATATAAGAGAATATGGCTAATATTTAAGTAAAATAATGCATAATAAAGACAATTTTGTGGTCATCATCATATATAGCTTCGTTTATTTTGAATGAAAAAGATAAGGACAAGGCATCTCTTCAATTTTGGTGTTACTCTTTTTTTATAATAAGGATGAATAGGGATTGCTTCTTCTTGGTTGTCTCGTTATGCCTTATTTGCCACTATATCTTTAAAGATTTTCATTTCAAAGTCTTTCTGGCAGTAAGCATGGAAGACAATGGAGATGAGCTATGCTTAATAAATCATATAACTTTTTTTTTAATATTTTAGAATGTTTGGGCAAGCACTCGATATGCCCTTATTTTCTTAAGTAAATTGCTCATGAAATTTAGTAAATAAATGTGTAATAAAGTCTTCGCAAAAAAAAAAAAGTGTAATAAAGAAACATTTACATGGAAAAGGAAAGCGTTTTTGTTATATTTAGACTTCATTTGGAACGGTTTTTTACTACTTCTTAAAATATTTTTTTATTGTAATAATTTTTAATTTTTAAAATTATTATTTTGTACTTTTAAAAATATCTTAAGAAGCTATACAAAAATTGTTCCAAATGAAGCCTTGTAGTCCCCCTTGATCATGAAGGAATGCGTTGCCATTTTCTTATTGACAATTTAAATTTATAATTTCTATTTTGAAAGTCAGTCATTGTTTAAAAATTAAAGATTAATAATTTCTTTCATATAATTACTTTTTAAAATGTTTATTAAACTAAGCATATTCTTATATAGTATCATACGTTGATTTTTAATCAGTTTGTTTGGAAATAAAATATTTTGAAACACATCAATTACTTAAAAAAAATATTAAAGATCTATTTGTAACAGCTTTCCCTTTTTTTCTTTTTCTTTTTTTTCCTTTTTTTTTAAAGATTAATTTTATTCCATCACAAAAAAAGGTTGCATGGTCCTTAAAAGAATAAATAGCTCGCTAAATGCTCGAAGAACTACAATCCAAAGGAAAAGAAAACCTATTGAGTCATCAATCACTAAATAATTACAATCAAAAAATAAAAGACAGGTCAGGAGCTTGGCCTAAAAACTCTATCAGGAGTAGTAGGAGCACAACATAAATGCCATGATTCAATAAGAGCTAGCAAAATATCAAATTATATAGAAGAAATAATCAAGTGGAGTTCACATACCTAAGATTACATGCAAAGAGAATTCCTCCAAACTAGAGGAAGAAACACGGAGAAAGCAACAAAAATTACAAAAGCTTTCACAGCCTTCAACAAACCCCTATAAACAAAGAATGAACAACATGAAGAAAAGCAAAACCACACAAAGTCAAAGACAAAGGCTCTCAGCCAAAACAGAGCACCCAGAAAAGCCACCAATAAACAACCACATAATAATACAATTAAACCAGCCAACTCATACAACTATCCCTCAAAATAGTCGAAGGGGAAATACCACCCAGTATATCAACTAACCACAAGATTAAAGGCAATTTAACACCAACCAACAAAAATAACCACAACCAAGGAACAAAAAGTTAAAACATAGAGGCTACAGAAAACCTGATCGATCGACTAAATGAAGGGCCAAAGATAATAACAAACAAACAACAGCCAAGAAAAAAGAACTAAAGAGCACCATTATACAATTATCTCTTCCTGAGATATGGCATCCCGAGTTTAGACACGGGGACAACATTTTGTTTGTTTTGCTTTTTAGAGAACAATTATAATTTCAATTGCTTATTGCCTAGTTGCTGCTTTTCAAAATAATTTGTAATAGAAGGCTGCTTTTTATAATTAAAATAGTTAAATTATTTTCTTGATTATAATTTCACAATTAACTTTATAAAATACTTCATCCATCCCAAATAGGCTCTAAAAAAAGTAAATGAAGGCTCACAGCATTGGCATTAGTGATGCAACATTTTCACTATGATTAATTTGTTTAAAGTTGATAGGCATGAAGGAAGCTTCCACTTGCTAGCTTTTATGTGAAATTAACAACTATTTTGTTTTAAGAAATAATGAATAATAATTAATAAATTATTAATCAAATAATTTAAATTTTTTATAAGACATTTAGTAGAGACATCGAGATTAAAAAAATGAAAAATTATTGTAGCTAATTAAATTGTATATTTATATGAAAATTTAGTCTCTAAATACGCCTTTATTATTTCTTTCTTTATAATAATGCATAAGCTTTGTGCTTACTGCTCAGCCATTGCCTATCATTCTATTGCTACGTACACGTGGTAAAATATTTTCATAATGTTTTTAATAAACTGTTTAAAATTAAGATTTGTTTAATTAATACTTCATTAACGTCCAAAAGATGGGTTAATTAGCACGTGATTATGTTAATTATTTCTAAAGCCTGCGTTAGCTTTATTAGCACGTCATATAGTCATGATTCTTATTCATATATATAAATAGCTTATGAGTAATCAATATTTGTTTGGTAGGATTCTCAATAAGTGAAGGTTACAAAACGAGAGAAAAGAGATCAATGCACGAAGGCTTCAATTTTACCTGATTCGATTGCACAAAAGTAATTAATAAATGAGGCATATATATGGTTGATTAATTTATTTAATGATTTCTTGCTTATCAAGGAAAACCACAAGGTTAAGATAATTAATTAAATTTGTTAAGTTTCATATAGGCCCTTAGGGAGGAAGATGCAAATTCTTAATTTATGTATCATTAACTAGTAAATAAGTAGAATGATTGTAGTGAAAGGGGCGGAAAGCACTTGGATTTCCTCATCGGTTGCCCAAAGCGACGGCATACCACGGTAAGTCGAAGTTTTCAACTCAGAAAAGGTAGAAGAAGAACCAGCTAAAGCTTTGAGAAAAGATTTAGGGTGCGACAAACCACCAAAGAGACCGGGCTCACTTAGTGGCATTGGCTTTAGGTTTCATTTGTGACAGTTTTTTATTGTGTTTTATAAATTTTTTGTGCTGGAAAGCAGGTTTAGAAAGCAGTAAGAAAGCTGTTCTAAAATTCATTTGGGATGGCTTTCTTTCTGCTTCTTAAAGCAGCTTTTTAGTACAAAAATTTAATTTTTAAACTAAAAAACTATAAAAAACTCAATTTTAAGAAGCAATAAAAAAGTCGTCCCAAACTAAGCCTAACTCTAAACTTTGCTTTTGCACCTCTAGTTAGAACTAATCAAACTTAATGTCCTAACCCATCAAATTTAAACAACAAGCAATTAGTCAAATCAAGCATGATTTAATTACACCATTACTTCTTTTCTTTTTAATTTTCATAGTAGTTTCGAGGGTCTTTTTGGTCCATATTGTTTGGATTTGATTTGACTAATGAGCTATTATTCCTATTAAATAGAAGCTAAATTAGCTAGTCAGTTAGGCTATCATATAATTATTTTGGCACCCAATAGCTAAGTCAGAAGACTCTAATGATCTTTGACCGCTTGGATTTGAATAAGACAGATTGAGATGTTTAAATATTTGGTTTATTAAGGAAGCAAATGGGATTGATGAGGGAAACTATTGTCTTATATGGGAGTTTGGGTAAAATTAATTATATTTAATGGGTCAAATTCCAATAAATTTCAATAACTAAATCAATTTAAATTTGACAGCTAGCAATATTGTAAAATATTGATAGAATTTTGTTCAAAGGTTTGATTCACATGGAGGGTGTGTTCTTTCATGAGACTTCACTATTCAAAGCTTTTAAATTTAGAGCTTTTTATTTTAATTTGTGATATTAATTATTTATTATTTCTTAGAAAATACTGCCTTTGGACTCTTAATTATTATCATCTTAGATATATATATGACACATATTATCGTTTGTGCTTGATGAGCAAAATTAACTTACTCGCATTTTTTGTTAAGAAATAGAATATAATTTTATATTATAACCTCATATATGATCACGTACGTAACTTGCAAGTATCTAAGAAAATTTCTTTCCATGAGACTTAGCAAAGGGAGCACATGATCAAACCTATGATCACCCAAAAGAAGTCAGCCTCACCTTGTAGGACAATCGTTGGCATCAAATTGTCAGCAATTAATCACTCACCCAATTGAGTTTGTAATATAAGAGCTCGCCTTGGAGGATTAGATTGATAATATACTCACTAGTAATCTCGGTTGGTTCATTTAGCGAACTCATACATACAAGTCACTACCCTTGAGGGGCACACCGCATAATTGAACTCACTCTTCAACAATAATTGTCTGTAATCAAGGATAATTATATGTTGCAGATGTCCTCAATCAAGCTATATGAAATGCAATCTTGTAATGCTTACAACCACAACTTCACTAACCAAATCATC